AATCATAAAACCAGATTGTTACAATATTGGAATAAAAATATAGTCGAACTCCTGCTGTTTGGCAGTAAGTTCAGTACCCCCTCAGTTATATTTAAGAGGGGATTAAGCAATTTATCTGCTTTTCAATAACACTTCTCTGACATCTTTGTTTAGAAACACATTGTTCCTGGGTTGTTTTTCTAAGTGGGATCTGTCAACCATCCAAAGGTTTCAGTTACATTGGATGCCAAATTCTAGATTCTGCCTCCTGATGGGGATGGGATCATGGGAGTGTATTATAGCCATGGTCTGGCATCTAGACTGGCTTCATGTGGTCTTCAGTTTCTCTTATAGAGTGGCAGCTATCTAGCCCTAAGTGGCTTGGGCCCACTATCTCTTCCTCAACTTCTGAGCCTAAACACTAAGTTCTGTGAGGTGTAAGCTTGTAACCAGGACATGTAAAATATGTCTCTACTACTTGTAGCAAAAGTATTCAGATAAGCACATGACCATTTGTTCTTCTTATCTGATATAACTTCTTTCATTCTGAAGGCCAAAAAACATTTTGGAGGAGGTGTCAGGGCCTGCATTCCAGTGGTGGGCAGGACCAAAGGCAAAAATGTGTGGTCAAAAATATCAACAACCCCCCCCCCACACACACACACACAACATCTTGTAGCTTAAATCTTTTACCATTAGTAAAAAAGCCTTTCATTAATAACTAAGCATTTCAACCTTTCAGAATGGGGTAAAAGCTGCACAAAAGCCCATGAACCCACCAAATCATTGGTGATTGGAGAAAATGGAATGTGGCTATGTGAGGACTGCCAATGGGCCAGATGGGAAACCCCAGGGGGCTGGATATGGCTGCTAGGACTGAGATTACCCATCTCTAGGCTATAGGATAAGAAGAGAGAAAACGCACCTCTAAAGATCAGCAAAACACCACAGTAGAGGCTGTATTAATTTTGATGGAGTTTGTGCAAAAGCCTTCCTGATTGGATTGGCAATGCCTGAATTTTGTTAGAACAGGAGCAGGCAACCATTTTGGGCTGTGGGTACTCTTGGCAATTTAAGAAACTCTCTTGACCCAACCACAAAATGGTTGCCATGGGATGCCTGGGAAAAAACAGGTAATCTGCCCAAAAGACAGGTGGTCGAGCCCCAACCACACACAAAATTCCTTCAATTCCAGTTTTCAGCAGCAATGGAAACCAATTTCACAGCAATCCTGGGCTGCTGGTAAGAAAATGTTGCTGACTTAAAGTGACCCTAAATATGAATGCCCTCCAAAATGTTGTGTCCTTGACAGCTCTTGTAAACTCATGAGTGTGGCTTCCTTTATGGAGTATTTTAGCTTTAAAAATGGCACTGGTCGGACAGCAAGAAAGGAGTCCAGGGCTGCCTTAGTATCCGTGGGTACTATGTTGCCTACTAGTGGGCTAGAATGATATGTTAGCATGAACTGAATACAAACAACTTCTTGAAACACAATCTAGTCAACAAAATAGCATGGGGAGAATGAAAACCTTGTCTTTTACCTGCAGGTTTTCCTTTGAGATAAGGGTGTCTACAGATGAAATACAAAAAGAGAAGCCAGAGCATTTTCACAGTGCTGTGAGATTTCCCTTTAAATATAGTGAGTGTAACATTCCAGTGAATTGAACATTGGCATATTCTCTTCCCTGCTGACCAGCAACCCTCTTGCTGCTGTGTCCCATTGAAGAACAATCCACTCTGCTGCAGTTTGTCTGAGTTATACAGAGGGGGAAACATTTCCATCTGTCCTAGAAGCAGGAAGAGCAGGAGGTGATAGAGAGTAGGCAAGAAAATGGGGAAAGAAAATGCCCTGCAATTGCATATATTCATATGGAAGCATCTCAGCTTGCACCTGACTGTTTTGACTCACTCTGCAGCAGTATATTGCCCAACAAATAAAATAAAGGTGGAGAATATGGTCAATCTGTCAGTGAAGCATTGGCCAGCAACTGGCAGGGCTGGTCCTACCATTAAGCAGAATGAGATGGTCATCTCAGGTACCAGATATTACAGGACAGCAGTGGCAGCTTTCTGGCTATTTTCATTAACTTTCTGGCTTTTTGTCGGAGGACAGAACTGACTATGCCACACAACCTGGCTTGGTCTTCCTAAACAAACCTGCCCACCCCAGCTGCCAGTTCAGTCAGTTTCTGTGTATGGACTGCATGGGGGAAACTATCTTGTATTTTATTTCAGACAGCAAAATGCCTTGGGCTGATTGTATGGTCTCTGGGGGATAAAAACATATATTGCTAATTGGTTTGTTGAAGCCACACACTCACTTATGTGGCGTGTTAACTAGCTTTAAGCTCTCTCAGTCAATCTATTTCATTTGTACTATATTATGAACAAGTTACACAGCAACATTACTTGTTGGATTGCATCCTTTCAAAGCTATAACCTTTTTTGTTGTTGGGATTTCATTATAGCTTTTCAGTGCACAGATTTGGTTGGTGCTTAGCCCTGTGGTAAACTAGAAGCAAAGCCATTTTACAAAGTGAGCAAACAAAGGTGAAAGCACATTTTGTGAGTCCAGCAAAAGGGCAGGTAAAGTCAATGGGCAGGCAAAAAGTAAAGAGTAGAAGAGAATTCTCAGAACAGGGTATGAGAAATGGCCAAGATCAAAACACAGATAAGCATGCAACACAAATACAAGAATAGAGAATCAGTCAAGAGGCAAGGTTAAGGCCCTGGCTCTGGTAGAAAATGGCTAGAAAGTTCTGAAAAGTTCCGGGTTGGTTCTGAAAACTTATACAGCCAGAGTTTCCAGAAACAACCCAGCCCAACCCAGAATTCAGCTGCAGTCTGGAAGAAGAGGAGAGCCCTTCTTGTAAGGAATCTTATCCTTTAGAGTAGCCCGGTTGTTCTGCTTCTTGAGGTGCACCCTTAGCTCCTAAATGGAAATAGCAACCTGTACTTCTGCCTTCAGGAGCTGGCATTTTTAGGGCTTGACCAATGCTTATCCTCCTTAACACAGGCAAGGTGTTGGAAAGGCCAGTGCAAAGGAATCCCACAAGGACCTTAGGCTCTTCATCCAAAGAGTGGGCCTGGGCAAGGCATGATAATAATATTGTGCTCTGACTGTACAGAATTTTTAAAAAATCAACATATGAAGATCTGTTTTAAAATATTACAATTGTCTATGTTAACCATCCCCACTCTGGCTTCCTCAAGATGTTTTCAGCTACAGCTCCTAGCATTCCTGACCTTTGGCTATCTTGGCTGCGATTCTGGGAATCTGAAGGCTAGAATATAGGAAGCTGAGTTACACTGAGTCAGATCCTTGGACCATCTGCCCCAGTATTGCTGACCCTGTCTGGCAGCAGCTCTCCAGGGGTTCAAGTTGGATTCTTTCCTAGCTGTTCCTGGAGAGCTGGGGAGTGAACATGGGATCTTCTGTATGCAAAGCACATGTTCTTCCACTGAGCCACGGTTCCTGCTCCCATCAGGAGGGTACCAGACTGGGGAATGCTGGTCTTTGTCCATTCTTAGTCTTTATAAAAAGAACCTTATTTGTTGAACTACCCCTGCCGAATCCTTATAAAATTAGCAACATGGGAGAAACAGTAGTATCACTAACCCTTGGAAGTGGAGGAAGCATTCTTGTGGAAAAGCCCCTGGTGTGTACAATATACTTTTTCTAATCCTTATCTTCAATCACTCCCTCCCCTGGCATAATGTGAAAATCTTGACCAGGCATGATTGCAACTGACTATCTTATTTTTCTTATTTGTGATTATACTGCTTCTCTATCTCCAGCAATATCTGAAAGCCTCTTAATTTGGCTGGTGTATTAATGCCTCATTAAATCATTTATATATTTGCTGTCCTTATAATGTGTTTGCTTTAGAACAGTCACTGCTAGTTCTTTACCCGTTCATCATATTTATGGCTTGGAACTATTTGCTTTTACCAAGCATTAGTGGATTTCTTTATTTCACAAATGTCCTTAATTCCATTCCAGCTAGCTGTGTCTCATTTCCTAGGCTGTAAATAATAAGGAGGCTAAACATGGTCTTCAAAGCAACATGGTTTGATGCTCTGATTGTTCTCTGTTAAAAGCTGCATTTCTGCAAGTGCTAGACAATTATAGTCAGAGACTATAAGGAGGAAAAGAGAAGAATCTGGCTCTTTACAGTTCTTAATATACTACCAGATCCCAAAATCAATCATTCCATGTCTAATATTTTCTATCTACCATTTCTTTCCTTTTCTTTAAATGTCAAGAGATTGGATTTCCAGATCCTCCAGAAGCTTCTGAATCAGTATTTAAATAAGATTTAGTGTTTTGTTTGTATAAAGTAATGAGACTTGCTCAGAATGTGAAAATTCTGCATTTTCCTTGATAGAAAAGAGCAAAATTCCTTTCCTGTTCATATCTATGCAGATCAAGTTTAATGAAAATTGCTAAAAACTGTGAACTTTGCAAACCTAAACATTTGTTTAATATATTAAAACACAATGTGCTTGTCTTGACTACGCATTTAGTATAAAGCTTTCCACTCCTCTGGAGAGTCTTTCTCTGGTATTCATTAGTCTGCTTGCGCAGCTCAGATCATTTCCTGGATCCCAAGCACTGCTTTTCATGTGGGAATTGTGTTCTAGAGTGTGTGACTCTTTGGCTTGGGATGGTTATTCTTTTTGATTTTTAAACTTCTGCATGCCAAAAAGGAAAAAAAAACCTCTTGGAAAATTGGAATGTTTCATACTCTGCTAGCTACATTGTTTTCAGAAGAATTGCCAAATCATACATACTGCATTTGAGAATTAGCTGTGAGTCCCAACATTCAAGAGAACTTTTTAAGGATTTGGCTCTTGGAGGATTCGGTAGATGTCCAGCTCGTTGCAAGTAAAATTAATTATCTTTAGAGAATGAGTCATAGAAATGGGAACATTTTCACCAGCTTTCTGGAGCTAATAAAGAGGGTTATTCTTGCAGTACAGGACAAAGTAGACGGTTTGATTTTTCTCTTCTCTTACAGTTGTTTCCATGTGCTGCTTTTCAACCTAGCTGTGGTGGGAATTGGCATCCTGATGGCCAGATTTTATCCAAATATAGGAGGAATTATAAGGTACACTTGGGGTTTGATATTTACACGGTTGAAATGTGTTGTTGAAGGCACATATAGTCTGTTCTATGAAATGCTTATTTTAACTCTGCAATACTTATAGACAAATCTAGCATTTGGTCAGGGTAACCTAAGAATATGAATGATTTTCATGGCTGGTATACACATGAATGAGGTGATAAATTCCTGAAGTAATAGAATAGAGTATAACACTTCAGGTTGTAGATACCATTCTTAATGCTTCCCCACATTATACAACTAGCATGGTAAGGAGAGGTTTTAACTTAGCCCACTACTTTGTCTCCTAGTTTTCTACTTGCGAGGAACCTTCTCATTCTGGAGCATTCATAGATGTGATTTCTTAGCTGAAGTCAGAACTGGTAGAGGTGCTCACCCTAATAAACTTCTGATGCATGTTTAAACTAGGAACTGGCTTACACAACATAACAGTCCACTGTGGCTTAATTTACTCATGGGGGTTGTTGTGTTATGTATTTGCATGGCCCTTGCAGGTGCTTCAGCCTATTATGTCATGTGAACCCAAACAACAGTGATTGTTTGCAGGTTAGGTAACCCTCAAATAACCATCAAACAAGCCATGGGTTATTTAAGGGTTGTAACAGTCCCCATGGGTAAATTAAACCATGGCTATCATGTCATGTTAACCAGGTCTAGCTCTTGTATTACAGCCATTGCATGGATGAGTTTTACAGTGAAAAGTCAAGTTTCTTTTCTTGGAAAAAGGAGTTTTGACAGAATGGGGCTTTTGAGTGGGAATCTGGACCATAGACTGGAAAATACACAGACATATGTCCCAGTGCAAACCCACCCATTTTCCATTCAACATGGTTTGTTGAAGTGTGGCAGTACACACTTTTGCAAGCACCTAAATGTTCAAGGCAAAGTGAAAACATGCACCCGATGGAAAATAATGCATGGAGAAAGGAATAAGAGGAGCATAATGGTGAAGAAGGGGTCTAGATCCCAAAAATAGCCTTTCTAAGTAAAAGTTCCTTCATGCCGTAGGTTTTCCTTGATAAGCTGCCTTTTGCAAACTAAGGAACCAAACATGGAGGGAAAACTGATTTGAAGCCTTTGTTGGGGCAACACTCAGGGTTGGCTCCTGCCACCCTTTGACCACCCTCACCCCCAGATGTTGTCCCATCCAAAGGCATGCTACTGTGGAAGGAGGGATACCTTATTCCAATGAATGAAAAGGGTTGCCATTTTTTGGCCATCGCACCAGTTTAAATGTTTAGCCAGACTATTAAGAACTGATACTCCTTTTTTAGTGTATTTGATGACCTACCCTGCAGTAAAATTCCTAAACCAGCAATCCCATAGCTGCTTACCTTGAATAGACATGTGCGATATAGGATTTGACTGTACAAAGATTAAGACAGAGTCTTCTGTTTCTTCCTTCCCAGATACTCTGGAGCAACTTGTGGCCTGGCTTTTGTATTTGTGTACCCATCGCTTATCTACATAATCGCTTTGCATCGGGAAAATCGGCTGACATGGTTGGCACTAATTGTTCACATTTTGATCATCCTCCTAGGACTAGCTAACCTGATTGTGCAGTTCCTAATATGAAAGTAAATCTTAGATCAATTTCTTTCTTTGCAAGAGCTGCTATGAATTTGAAAAGATCACCTTGAGCCAACAGGATTGCAAAGAGTATGTACTTGCCCTCTTATGGGAGTTCTTTCTTGCTCCAAAGAAAAGTGTAGGTGCAGCAACAGCAAAACAACCTCTTCAAGAAATTGATGATGCACCTTAGGACATGGCACACCATGGCAAATTGAAGTGACAATGTAAATTCCTGATGCACCTTCAAGAAGTATCAGGAATAATTTGGGAGAAATCAAAATTACTTTTTAAGGTTTTTTTTCACATGGAAAAAGCCATCTAACAAACTTTATGTATAGAAAATGTTACTATGTATCTTTCCAGCAACCTAACAGAATTAAGGGATGTTACTGATTTTTAAAATTCTACATGTTTTTAAGCAGTAGTGATATGAAAATTCCATGGTGACATGGTTTTACTGGCAGCTTGAAGTGTAATGCAGAATATTACTAACAGTCTTAAAGTTGTATCTTTGTTGTGATAGTTCTTTGAAAAATTAAGTCATAATGTGGATTGCCCTTGTCTAAAATACCTAGATATACTTAAGAACTTTTTTGTCAGGATTTGAGGTTCTTTCTTTGGAAAGAAATGTCAACCCCATTCTATCCTCTACTTGGAAGATTCATTGGAGAGCTAAAATTCATTGGAAAAGTTCTGTGGTATTTAAAGTAATGATGAAACGTCTTATTTATAATTTCAGACTTTACCATGTATGTGCACAACTGCCCCCACTCCCATATTATGATTATGAAAATATCCACCCATTTTCAGGCACAATTCAAAAGACTGCTTTAATTTTTCAAGCCTAAACTTGAATAGACCTAACAATCTTAGGGATTCTCTCTACAAGGGTTTACTCCATCATATTGTTTGAAGCTTCAGCATCCAGATTTTTTGTGGGGTTGAGATCCTTTACATGCTGATTTTTTCTGTTTTTTCTTTTTCTGCATTTCTGTATGTATTGTGTATGTCCATTACAAAAGCACAAGGTGTCACTGTGGTATAGTGGAATTGTGCAAAGAAACACACCTCTTACACATGAGTCTTATTCTAGTCATTCAGCCATTTAATAATAGCAGAATTTATTCAATTTAATAAAAGCCATGAAAATGGTGGCAAAGAATGGGAGAGTATGACAAGGTCATATAAAGCTCCCTCAAAGTATTGCAGAATCACAAGCACACAATAAATGCTTTGTACAGAGACGCCCCTATACAGTATCATGGAGGTGGAAGTACATTCTCAGAGCAACAGTCAGCAAATCATACCCATGCTCAGCAGGGGAAGATATAAATATCCAAGAAGAAAATAGAAAAACAGTGGAAAAAGAAGGAACACTTCAGAACCTGGTAGCAGCACCACAGCCACCAATGGGTGGAAGCATGAGTGGCGTTGCACACTGTCAAAACACACAGGTGACCAGTAAAGTCAGGATGATTGGTGCACAGCTCCTGTATCACCACACCCAACATGATGCCAGAGTGCCCCCTATTCCAGGAGCACCAATGCATAGTACATGATGATGGGAGGGGTGTGGAAATTTCCTCACTCATTTTCTGCATACCTGGTAAAAATAAATGTCAGAGCAAAACTGAGGAGTTTCCTGGAATTGAATCCCATAATTCGGGCAGCACCTTTCTAACCAGACAAAGCAGGACCTGCAGCAGTTGCTCATATAATGGAGCATTTATCCTGCTCACATTTGTATATATAAAAAGCTGCAAGAGGAACCTTGCTATGGTGGAGGAGCTCATGTTGCACATTCTTGTGACTTAATAGGCCCCTGCAACACTGCTGAATCAATTGGAAGGACCACTGCATGACCTATTAACTTATCTTAGACAACTCTTCTGGTTCCTTCCTTTCCTGGCAATCCATTTAATCAATTCATCCCCCACCACCCATATTGTCGGATAGGTGCATCCCCTTTCTCTTCTCATTCCACTGTCTCCCCTGCCCCCAGCAGACTTCATTTGGCAGCCGCCTATCTGTAAACCCAGACATGCTTGCCCACATGCACTCCAGGGAACCAGTGGGCAGAGGGAGACTACTTTCCTCCCACCCCATTCGCTGAGTTCCATCCGGAGACCTGGTGAATCATTACCAAAACAGTCACTACATTATCCTTCCCCAATTTTATGCCTTGGACTTCAACGTAGTCAGCATGTTGGGGATTATGAGAGTTGTAGTGTGAAGCATGGAGATGCACCAGATTGAGGAAGGCTGGATTAAGGTATATTCCAAGTCCATATTAGTGATTACTGTTAATATTTTGATTTCTTATATTACATGAGGTCCATTTATAAGGGACTTTTCTGGCTGAGCCCTTGTTAGTGCCAAGTAATTTTGTGTCAGTATAGTTGTTTTGAGAATCAGCATGCTTGCCTTCTAGACAGAATGTTCACATGGTAAGTCTTCATAAGAGATGGATTGTGAAAGGTGTGTGCATGTTGCACACTTGTTGAAACATGATAGCATTCCTGTACAGCCAGTGTGCGTTTCTTCCTGCTGGATTTCCCAGTCTGGAAATCCCCCATAGTTAGGACATGGTTTGTGTTGCTGCACTACTTCCTATCTGGCCACTCTATTTAATCCTGAAATTACTTCAGGGTACACTCACTGACACAATGACAAGCCTACAAAAATAATCTACTGTCATTAACAGAGGGCACATAGGAGAAGTGAAGCATTGTGTGTAAGCACGTGCATGTGCAGTCTCTCTATTCAAACACTGCCTTCGGCTTCTGTGTGCTCAGGAGGCAGTTCCTGCAACCTGGGACTTTACCAAGTGGCTTCTCTCTCCTCCAGTTCAAGGAGCAGGGAGCAAATGAATGAAATTAATGTAGATACTTGTGTAATCCCTTTGCTAGTTTTGGATTCTCCTCCAGTGCCAGCTAATGGAGACAAACTGTCTAGAGCCATTGGCATTTGGTTCCTTGGATCGGCTTTGGTGTGGCTCAACTTGAAACAACAATGTGGGAAACTGTTAAAAAAGGGAAATAAATTAGTGCTGTTTTAATTTTTTAAAAAAACATCTTGTGTGTGTTTGGAGTTTTTTCCATGTAAAATGAAAGATGCATAAACTGTACCATTTGCTACACTTCCCTATGGTAGAAATGCAGATGGCTGATCACAGGTGCTTACAATTACTGGAGCCTACATGGACTTTGAGAAGCCCAGAATAGTAAGCTACAGAAAAGTATTATTGAGTTGCCAAGTGTTATGACTTCATTGAAGTCTCAACATAGCTGGAACAAATGATTAAAAGTTGCAAGGTCTTACATACATTTGGTGTATTCTTTTTCAATTTAACAGCTACTCCCCAAATCACTTCTGTGCAAGAAAGTAATGTCCTCAGATCTTGCTTTTTTCTCTCACCAAATATCTATTGCTTCATAGAGAAATCTTTAAGTACCTGCAAGGGGCATTTCTTAGGAGTGTTTAAGCAACAACCTCTAGATCGTGGATAGGTAAGCTGCAGCCCTCCAGAAGTTTTGACTTGCAGCTCCTGTCAATCCTACTCAGCATAGCCAGTGGTGATGGATGATGGGAACTGTAAGCTAAAACCTTTGGCTAGCCACAAGTTGCCCACTCCTAGTCTAGATTCAAACAGATCTGGGATTATTCCAGAGGGTGGTTTTGCTGCTTGGTAATAAAGCTAAACATTCTGCATTCTTGCTTAATTGTGGAATAATCTTATCAGTGATGCTTTGGAACTAAGAGAGTGGGAGGGAGAGAGAATGCATGATATTTAATAGAATAGATATTACCCTGCTATTTAGTTGATAGCAGATCACCAAGACCTCTCTTTCCTTTGTACCCCCTCCTTACTACACTACATGCTGCTTTCTTAGATTCAGCAGCTAAAATATATACATGCTGTATGCAACATTCGATCAACCAAATGTCTCCAGAAGCAATGATAACACTCAGGGTGCTTGCTTGCTTGCTTGCTTGCTTGCTTGCTTGCTTGCTTGCTTGCTTGGTGGCATGTGTAACCATGGGATTGGGAAGCCAACAAGGGTACTGATGAAGTGATGACCCCAGAGTCAGCAGACATAGGGATGTGATTGGCCCTTCTGGCCTTTTTTGGCAGCTAGAAGGCAATAGATTCAAACTTAAGCAATAAACATGCATGTGTTTAAATGCTGGAAAAATGGTTCTGTTTAATCGGAGCACTGTACCACATTCCTAGTCTTCTACACACCTGCTTACATAACTTGTGCTCTTGATGAGAAATTCTTATTTCATAATTTGGGGAGGGGGGCTGGCAGTTCCGTGTTCGAGCCATAATGTGAAACATGTATCTCATCCTTATCCTTTCTCCTTTTGAAGTTATCAGTGGGTCATATAGCAAATAAACTCTTGTAATGGGGGTATGTAGAGTTTTCCCTACCCACAATGTAGTTCTCCCTAGTTATTTGCATCTACAAGGAGTGGCAGCAAGCACTGTGACCTTTAAATAAAGGCAAGCTGAAAAGAATGCAATGAACAATGAAGAAGAATTGGCATCCACAGCAAAAACCAGTGACCAAATAATTATAATTTGTCAGATGATACGTTGCTTGAAGCCCTGGAGATCTGCTGCCAGTCAGTGTCAACAATCCTGGGCTGGTCTGGCACAGTATAAAGGTAGTTCCTATGTTCTCTGCTTAGTTTCCCATATTCTCAAGGCCATTTCCTATGTTCCCTAAATCCTCTTGTACCTGTCACCTGGGTCACTAACACCTCAAGATATCCTCATAGCTCACTCTTACAAAACGGCTGCTATAGCATACTTGCCCATTCATCAGATAGCTACCATTTGACTAGTCATAAAACACTCATTTTGCAAAAGGCAAACTGATGAGATTAAGAGAATAGTATACCAGCACAGGAACCTAAGTAAGTTGGGAAACCACAGGATTTGCCCATGGCATTCCCCAATTAGAGAAGACACAGTGCAGGTGAATGTTCCTGGCTGAGACAGCTGCTAATGTACTCCAGGTGCTTCCCTAGAGCAGTTTTGCATATGTTGAGATTTTCCACATTCAGGACAACATGGACTGGGAAGAGCAGACCTGAGCCCTTGACATCTTGAGCACTCCTCCAGCTGCCTCCTTTGTTCAGGTAGTTTTCTGTGTGTGAGCTTTCTTCTAGATGACTGAAGCCCCCTGCAAATTCCATGATTCTATGAAGTCATTATTCTGTGCTGGTTTTTCTACAGCTTTCCCAAACTTACTTTTTCATGATCTAGCAATGCTGCCCATGTCCCAGCTGTCCCTCTGGCGACAAGTCAGATGATTTATTTGGCTAAATATTTTTGAACAATTGACTCTGTTATTTTTAAAACTTAATTTGATATAAAGAAGTAGAGTTCTTGCACTGAGAAGGAAACAATTTTGAAATCTCTCCCCCTCCTCCCCCCCCGCGCGCGCGCTCGCGCTCTCTCTCTCTCTCTCTCTCTCTCGCGCGCGCGCGCGCTCGCGCTCGCTCTCTCTCTCTCTCTCTCTCTCTCTCTCTCTCTCTCTCTCTCTCTCTCTCTCTCTCTCTCACACACACACACGCGCACGCGCACGCGCACGCGCACGCGGCATGATTGAATGTTCCACCATATGCAAATACCTCTTAACTAAAGCAGGCTACTTTGGCTTTATAAAAACAAATAGAGGAAGAATGGACCCAGAATAGATGTGACATTTTTCACTGTAAGCAATTTTGGGCATAATTAATAAAATGATGATTGGAAGTTTTCTTGGCAGAAATCACCTACTGCTTACCTTGTCAGAAATATTTAAAGTTTAATAGTGAAACAGAAAATGTCACAGTGAGGTCTTTATATCTGTCTGTTATTTCTTATTTATGTCTCTGTGTTATTTCTTGGTTATGCAAAGAGCCCCCATCCCACTCTATTGCACACAATGGCCTAATTCAGCAAAATAAGAATTTGTAACAGATCTCACTGTTAATTCAAGAAAAGCTGCTGTAACTAGAAGCTTTAAGTAATTCTTCAGGCTCTTAAGCTGTAAACAACCTGTCCTTTTATTTGGGCAGTTATCCCTCTCTCCTTCCCAGTACCTGCAGAAAATCTGTGTAAACTCTGGTATTTCCTTCAGCAACAAGTTGTCCACACAGAGTGAGCAGTACAGCTGAGCTGGGCACTTTCTGAGCAAACCATACTCAAAAAGGATTGCCTTTTGGGATTCCTAGTACCCAGAGACATCTAGCCCAGGGTTTCTCAACCTTTTTGGAGTCAGGGCCACATCTGAGAAGGTGAGAAACTTACAGGAATTGGTCCAAATGGCTTCCATGGAAGATGTGGCTAGTCACATAATGGCTACTACAGAGTCCTGGCTACTGAAAGGTAAAGAAACAGAGAGGCTAGAAAATGGGCAAAGGAAAGGGATAGAAGTATAAAAAAATAAAAGTAAGGAATGGCTTGTGCTTTCCATGTCCCAAAGCACCTAGATTCCCAGGAGCAATTAGAAAAATGAGCTTGCCTTTAGGATAGTCAAATACAAACAGCAAACAAAAGGATCTTGCTATGAAGAGAGCATAAATCCTACACCCACTTTTTTCATGTTCTAAGATTACATGTGTCTTTGCTTTCCCTTAACAGCTTATCTTTTGAAACCCATCAAGAGAAGAAAATGCCTGTTGGGTGTTGTGAGGCACAATTCTCTCCTTAAGTAAACAGGCTACTCCTGAATTTCTTTTTTCAAGGCCTTATTGTTATATAACTCTTGAGTCCACCCATAATGAAGTGTCTGTAACACCCCCACTTCTTTATACCCCTTTGCCTGTGCATCCCAGCAGGTAGGGCAATGTGAAAGCCTAGCCCTCCTGTGTTCTTCTGGTTTCTCCAATAGGTGCATTTCCCACCTATGCTGGCTCCTAGCAACCAGCATCACTTCCTCAGAAGGAGGGACCTCTGTGTCAGACAGACTGCTCAATTCGTGGGGCTCTCATCAGCCCTGGCTGTCAACTCTACTTCCTGTTGTGCTGTCTCCCCATTCTCAAGGGCTGGTTCGCTGTCACCCCCTTTGGCCTGGACTAACAACTCCTCGCATGGCTCCACAGATGTTCTCCAACCTTCGTCTGATACTGGAGCTTGCTAATATTCCACAACAACTTCATCTTCACTGTCTGAGCTTGAATTTCCATCAAAGCTATAGACTACACATGCACAGTCATCCCCAGTGCTCACACACAGCTTCGGGAACTTCTTTGGGTTAATATCCCAGGTTAGTACCTGTACCCACCAGGACATCTAATTACTGCACTCATGGAATTGTACTCCTCCATAGTTGTGCTAGTACAGCAAAAAAATAAAATAATATATTGCTAGCCACTGACAGTTCCTCAAATGTGCTGCTTGATCACTTTCAAGGTCAGCCAGTCACTGTCAAAATGGAGATAACAAAAGCTGGCCTTCAAGGTGGCTTTTACAGACTCCAGGAAAAAAAAGTTAAAGTCACAGTGAGCCAAACTGTGGTGGAGACACCCAGCCAGTACCAGTCACCCCCAAGTCCTGTTTGGGCATTTATGGAACAGTTGGTGCTGGCAGATCTCTGGGCAAGTTTGGTAATAGCTGCATCTGGGGGTTGCTACTCTATCTAGTTTCCATTACCCAATTGGGCACCCAGTTTGGATATCCTGGCTACCCACTCTGAGTACAAGAAGACTTGCAGCAAGGTTGCCCGTCTGGCTTGTTGTCCTCAAACAATCCTGAGTTTGCACATCACAGCAACCCACAATGGCTAGTCACCTAAATTGAGTTGTCATGTCACATGCACCCAGCTGATATGTCTGCATGTGACATTCCTCCAGTGTACTTAATTAACAATTCGAAGTATCCGTTCTCTTTCACAGCACCCAAATGGCATCCCTTAATGTGGTGCAGGGTACCAAAGTTGCATCCAGGAACATATTTGTAGTGCCCATTTGTGGTCTGTTTTCTACTAGATGTATGTTGGGGGACTAGGGCTTTTCAACTATTCAAAAACCCTGCTTTACAGGTTTGTGTTGTTTTGTTTGCATTGAGGTTGACTGGGTTCCTCTTCTTAGCCACTTAATTTTTAAGCTATGTGAAGAAATGTTGTACATCGGAATAATAATGTACTGTATTATGTATGTAGGTGACACTGATAATCTGTGAAGGCCTGAGGTCTAGTTTTATTACTGTGCTACATAGGAGTACTGCCTAATGACCAACTTTGAGGAAAGTAAGATAATTATTCTTAATGTTTCTAGATGGAGTCTTGATCAGCTACATTTAATTTTGATTCTGCTGGGAAAGATCAGAC